AAAAAGTACTAGATACCGGTATTCTTCATTCGTCCGATCTACCAGTGAAAATAGTTAAAGTGATTACTGTACACATTGACTGTAATATTACAACAGGTTCATTCTATAACAGCAAACCGTCACACGCAATTTTTGAATTTTCCATTGACGTAGATGCTGGTTATGCTATAGACATTCAACCTCGTAACTTGATATATTTACCTGTATCCGAAACACATACTATCAATAACATTAGTTTACGTATATTAGACCAAAACGGAGAGCTTGTTAACTTTAGAGGGGAAGAGATAATTGTTAGACTGGAACTTAAAAAATTAACTTAAAATGGGATTATCTATTACCTCCAATAGTAACACATATAAAAAGAACAAGTTTGCAACTTATGATTCAGTCTTTCGTAATCATCTTATGAAGGCAAGTCATCCTTCAACTAAAGCACTAACACCTACAAACGTTTTGTTTTTAAAATCTTTGGGATACAATGTTGTCAGTCCATCATATATTCGAAAATCCATCGTTCGATAACTCTGTAATAAAAGAAGAATACCGTACATATTATCCATTTGTAAAATCTTTTGATAATAATGATGAAATTGAAATAACTATTAATCAACAAGATGCCTGGTTAGCGATGTATGAAGCTGCTATCTGTATAGATGGTAAGGTGTTACTAAAAAGTAATTCTACTACCGCTTCAGCTAAAGTAGAATTAGTCAATAACGCTGGTGCTTTTATGTTCGATTCAATTTCATATGAATTGAATGGAAAAGAACTAGATCGTGTACGTGATCCTGGTATTGTGAGCATGATAAGAGGTTATTTATGTTACAATCCTAACGATAGTAACCATATGGCTATAGCTGGATGGAATTTTCCATCCAATGCAATTTTGAATGCGGATATGACGTTTTCATTTCGCATACCCTTATGGCATCTTCTCGGTTTTTTTCTTGATTATAGAAAACCAATGTTTGGAAGGCATACTATACGTTTGGTTCGTTCCAGACACGATCATAATTGTCTAAAGGTCATTGGTGACGCAACGGCTACCATTCAGATAAATTCTATTGAACTTAAAGTTAAACACATATTTCTAAATGATGCGCTAAAATTGGATGTACTTAAAAAGATAAAGAATGATACTTCTATACTTATGGGTTATAGAAAGTGGTCAATACATGAATTACCATCCTTACCTCATAATGCCACGAAAACTATATGGTCAGTAAAGACAAGTTCAGCTATAGAAGTTCCAAGATTTGTTATTGTTGCCTTTCAAACAGCTAGAAAAGATGTAGCAAAAGCGGATAAGCACATATTAGATAACGCAAATCTTACAAACATAAAGTTAATGATTAATTCGGACTATTATCCTCATGAAGATATGAAGTTAGATTTTAAAAATAATAAATATATGGAAGCTCATCATATGTATTCGCAATTTGCCAAAACGTATTCAAATGATAACGATAAACACGGATTACTTGACTATTCTACATTCAAAACTCATGCTTTATTTGTTATTGATTGTTCCAAGCGAAGCGAAGATTTAAAGTCGTCCACCGTTGATGTAAAACTAGAATTTGAATCTGCTGAAGGTTTTCCCGCTGATACTAGAACTTACTGTATTATTATTCATGATTCTGTGATAGAGTATTTACCGCTAAGCGAAATTGTTCGGAAACTAATTTAAATGTAACATACTAGCAGTCGAAGCTCTCAGTCAGTCGTGGTGCGTAGTACTAGAATCATCTTAATCGGTTACGCAATGAAAATAGCAGCAGTAGATGTTCAAGGTTTTCAACTTTCAAACGGGTTTTTAGCTAAAGAATTAGCGATTTCAATTAGTAACCAGATAACCCACTATATTTTTAAACCATTGACGCCGTTTTGTTTCTTAAATACAAACGATAAAGTGCAAGTGCGATGGCTGGAAAAAAATTATCATGGTTTGAAATATTCCTCTGGATTCTTGGAACAGCACCAATTGAAGGATATCATCAAGTCGCATTTATCAGACGTTGATTTTGTATACGTTAAAGGACATCAAAAACTAGTTTTGTTATCTTCCCTTCGCGATGAGGAATTCCAACCAGAAATCATAAACTTAGAAGATGTACTCCAGACCAGTCTAGATGTGTTGAACTTCAATAAAAATAAACCACGATGTCTACATCACAGTTTGAGACTATGTATGTGTGCTTTAAGGAACTGTGCTGAGCTTCAAGAGTGGCTTCTTGCGTTAATGAGAAAATAGTTGTCAGTCATCCTTGCAACAAGATGGACCACACTACAGTAGCCGCTTCAATAGATGCCTATCTGAGAAAATTACATAACCTCAAAAAGTGTATTGAGGAATATGAACAAAAAAAAAATGATTGTTAGCTTTAGAAATATTCATATTTGTAACAATGTACCAAATTAAGGTTCCAAATTGTGTGAATATTGATAATATTTACAAAATAAAATTCTTGTTGTAAGTATTGTTTTATTTAATCGTTAATGTTATCGAACTTACAAAATGAACTAATAAATATGAAGCTAAAAGTAAAATCACATGATGCATTATATCAAATTTCTTGTCCGTCTTCTTTCCCATTCTATTCAATAGCTTCTGCATTCGTTTAGCATAGTCACAATTTTTTGAGAATTTTAGATGATCCTTAATAGGACAGTCGTCATCCTTCCATTTGTACATTATTATCCCACAACAAAACGCTTGGCAAATATCTTCACTTCCAACAAAAAAAACCTGCTGCTGCTAGCACTGCAGGATTAATGGTTCCAGCCCATCCTTTTTCAAATGTACTGATACGTTTTTCATACGAATTGTATTCACTAAAATCTATAGAATATTCTTCAGCACACATATTCATACAGCGCAGCGGTACGATCAGTATTATTCTATATTGCATAGGCGTGTATTATTATTTATATACATATATGGCACATATATCATAAAACACTCATACTTCTCGAAAGTCACACATGACATACGTCAACAAATTCCTAGTAGTTCACTTTCCTTAGATAGTTATGTTCAGTCGTAGCCAAGCTGTGTTCGCAACAACTAGTTACCATGGAAGAAAATTCTGCTCAAAATCTGGAATTGACACATAATTATGTACATTCAGTAAGTTTTATTATCATGGTTACATAAAAATATACATTAGCTAATTCGTTCATTTTTTTTTTCTTGTAGGCTGATAGTTTTGATATGGATGAATTCTTAATCGGAAATGATATTTTTAATAATTCAACCACCATTGATGTATCGTCAACAGCTCCTGCAAATCGTAATGCTGGAAAGGATATGCAACAGTTGGTAAACAATTATATTGAAGAGCAAAGCAGTCCTACAGATGATATGGTTATTGTGACTCATAGAAAACATGTGAACAACGATGAACTGCGCATAATTGGAGGTTATCTACGAAAAGTCAACAGACTATGCGAAAAGAAATTCAGTGAAATTTCAAGAAAATTAAACAAGGAACGTAAAAGACTACAAACACTGAAACAAAAAGAACGTACTCAGTTACAAAAAATTAAGAGACTGGAGAAATGTGAGAAATTTGCATCCAAAATGACTAAACGTCTAAAAATATCTGCAAATGACTAAGTACTATATATATCTACATACAATGTAATCTTTTCAATCATCAGTCAACCACTGAACTGTGAACATTTAATTAAATGCAATAATGACGTCACACACTAATAATCAACGGGTAATAAAGTTCTCGACTTCACTGTACCAGTTCAAGAAGATGGAACATTTTACATATACGTAATCTATCAACACGACAAGGTCGTGCTACAAGAATACCCAGCGTTCTATTACGATGGAACGCCAGGTGGCTTGCCATTTGGTACAGTGATTAAAAACGAAGACAACCGAACTATAGGGTATGTGATCGGACATCACTTAAATTATTATCCTATAACGACGATGAAAGACAACTTATTACATTGCGGTAGATATGGACTGCACAAGCTAGTCGGTCATGGTGGAAAACTAGAGTATCGAGATCAAGAGTATACAGTGGAAGAATTTAAAAAAAGTTTCCCAGAATAGCAAAACAAGATGTACAATGTTTTGTTTATGCATAACGTACCTCAAAATAAAGATAGATAAACTCCTTACAGCGTATCGTTTATTCTCTACTATCTACACCCCCTCACCTACCCCCCCCACAGTAGTTGCGTATCGTTTATTCTCTGCTATCTACACCCCCTCCTCACCTACCCCCAGTAGTACGCTCGCCAGAACGAGCCCCATGCGCATGCGCACGCGCGCGCGCGACTAAGGGGGATGGTGGCAAAAAGGCGTTGAAAAACGACGGTTTTTTTTTTTTTGTAATTTGGTCTAGAGTGACTGGTCTAGAACGTACTTTGGTCCAGAACGTGTAGTGGTCGGGAACGCCTATAAGTTTTACGGTACAATTTCACATGCTATTTTAGGTGGTCGGGAACGCCTATAGATATACTAATGCATTGTTCTGCGAATTTCATAATGCATCTATAATTACTATTATTCATCGGGTTTTACCAATCTATATGCAATAATTTACCACAAAACGTGAGTATCGTTTGGTTTGTTTTTTATTAGAAGGAAGAGATGCATAGTAATAAATTCTTCAACTGAAAACTAGCGGGTCATATTTTCTGAAGAATAAATAGGAAACAAGTCTATGCATAAGCCATCTGACACATCTCACGTTTTATGGTAAATTATTGCATATAGATTGGTAAAAAACCGATGAGTAATAGTAATTATAGATGCAATAATTTACCACAAAACGTGAGATGAGTCAGATGGCTTATGCATAGGCTTGTTTTCCTATATGTTCTTCAGAAAAATATAGCCCAGTAGTTTTCAATTGAAGAATTTATCACTATGTATTCTTCCTTCTAAAAAAAAAAAACAAACCAAACGATACTCACTATTCAAATTATATTATATAGTTGTAGCTTGATTATTTTCATTATTTGTTATAATGTCACAGTACGGTACAGCATACTGCCTAAAATGTCAAAAACACTTCTGCTTTTGTCCAGAGTCCATCAATTATCACATACTTTCAGAAGAAGAAGAAGACAACTCTCTGATTTGCTCCGAATCAATAGAATCTACTCCATCTCCGGAGGCACCTGCATCAACGGCACCCGGACCATCCACCACCACCACCACCACCACCAAAAACATACAACAAAAACAAAGTTGCCATTGCAATAAAAGGGAAAAAGCGTCAGCCCTACCAAACCAACCAACAAAAAAACATAACTATACAGGTACATTATAATGACAAAGGGGAATTATTATATAAAACAATTAAATTCAAAACAACGTGTAACTGTGAGAAAAACAAATAAAGATAGATAAACTCCTTACAGCGTATCGTTTATTCTCTGCTATCTACACCCCTCCTCACCTACCCCCAGTAGTACGCTCGCCAGAACGAGCCCCATGCGCATGCGCACGCGCGCGCGCGACTAAGGGGGATGGTGGCAAAAAGGCGTTGAAAAACGACGGTTTTTTTTTTTTTGTAATTTGGTCTAGAGTGACTGGTCTAGAACGTACTTTGGTCCAGAACGTGTAGTGATCGGGAACGCCTATAAGTTTTACGGTACAATTTCACATGCTATTTTAGGTGGTCGGGAACGCCTATAGATATACTACTCTTATGCTATCACAAGCACAATCAAAAGAACTATGATAACTGGAAAAATTAAAAAAAAATCAACATTCTGTTCAGAATATAAACGGCTTGGCGGTTCATATAAACTGTGATTTAGGAAAGATTAATGGGATTAATGTAAATCTTCATCAAATTCAACAACGTCAGGATAAGCGTCCTCTTGAGTTGCTGATGTTCGCAAGTCAAGGTAAAACTGTCTAAAGGGCTCAGATATTAAGGACAATAAATCGATTAAATTTGATTTTTTCTCTTCTGATATTGGAGGTTTGCGTATGTAACACTTTCCTGGATCAATAGTTCCACAGCTGCCCCTTCTTGTTAACGACAGCTCTTTAAACTGTTCTGTTTCATCCAGAGAGTTTTTGAAAAAAAAATTCCAGGCTCTCTCGTATATCTGAGCCAGCGAGCATCATGCCACTTAAACGGATTGCCCATTGAATCCTTTTTTCTGAGGACAAGAGAATTTCTATAAAGGTCAGAGAAGCTTAAAAACATGTCATGAGTTAATTCTTTAACCAGAAATTTACGTCGTTTCCCGACAGTCCTTACAAGCTGGTACCAGTCATGAGGATGATTAATTTTAAGCTCCAATTTTTTTTTCTGTTTCTCTATGAGGTCATGGCCTACATCACATTGCATATGACTGTGTCCGCTAATCATAAATTTGTGATCAATGGTTTCTAAGCATGCATTTCGTTGCATGACAGTTAAAAACATTGCAGCTACATGTGAGTTCTTGTTTTGCCCACCACATGTGTCTGAATACAGAATAACCCTGTTTATATTGGGAGGTAGGTTTATCAATTCTAAAACCAAACAAGTTCCGATTTGATTACCACCGCGGTCACCTTCCGCTTCATGCCACATGAAGCAAGTTACCTCACCATTCCCGAGATCATGCATGGTTAAGTTGTAAGTCCACAATTGCCTTCTGTAGAATGATACAGATGATGTCAAAAAAGCAGTTGGAAGGCACTGCTGGAGATCAAACGTGTAGCATTTTGTACTTGTGTTTTGCTTAGCGAATTTTTTATCCTCATCCTTTTTTAGATATGCATCATCTGCTTCTGCGTGGTGGAGGTCAATTTCTTCTTTTATGCTTTCTTTTTCTGACTCCTGAGCAATATCAAGCTTCATTTGCAGCACGTCACATTTATGGCACGTATTAACTTTAGGCTTCTTAAATGATAACTTCAGCTTATGGAACTGAGCCTCATAAATACGTCGAGAAACTACTACTTTGCGATTTTCCAAGTACAACTCGTACATCTTTTTCAGTGTCAAATAAGGAGCCAGATATCTTTTGTCATTTACCCTCCGAGTGTAGTGGGATTCATATGAAAGAAAGGAATTTATGTGCTGAATCGCTTGGTCTAATACCTCTGCATCAAATTTGTTGACAGGTTCATGGCAACCGCGTTTATCGTTACGAACTATCCCAGAAACTGACTTACTAGAATTTCGTAACGCCAGTGTAACAAACATTTGTGTCTCACCTAAGGTTTTCATGAAACATCCCCGACAGACTTTAGTCTTCTGACCATTAATTTTAAAGTAAAAGGTGTGGCTTATTTCCCTGTTTCTGGATTTTTCTGGATTATCTGTCCTCTGTCTTTTTACTGCAGTTTTCGTGGTCTCCGAGTGGTTTGCAATATAAGTAACTCGTTTGTCTCTGTTTCCAAGAGCCCAGTACTCTTGAAATATAATTGATCTTGTAGTTTCTGTTATTTTATCTCGACATTTTAATCGACACATTGGTAAAGGTATCATCTTACGTTGTTTTACTTCTTTACCTTTTGCTGTAACGTATTTTCTCCCTGTATTTCGACATTCTTTCCGCTCATTCCGTTTTTTCCGGGAATTAGGTCCGTCTTTCAACCTCATTTTTGTATTTACTGCAGCAGCATCTGTGTTTTCAAGGATATCTGATTTATTTGCCCACAACCTTTTTTGACCAAATCTAATGAAACTTCATCATCGCTTCTACAAACGTTTGATGACAACTCATCTTCCGGATCATAGTTTTTGTCCTTCACACTGTCATCATGTCTAAATCCTGCTCGTGTAGAACTGCGTCCTCCAGTTGCGTTTTTCCAACTCCGGTCTCATTTGATGAAACTGTCTGATTCATAGTCTCCACGAGCATTTCATCTGGAAATACATAGTGAAAAAACAGATGAAGTAATCTAAAGAATTCTAAATATCGAAAACATTCAAAAATGAGATTTGGGTCGTTAAAAAAAACTTGAGTCATCTAAGAAATGTTCCGAATACAATCTTAAATTTTCTGGAACCTGAAAAACAAATAAAAACCATTTTGGGAATGATCTAGTATTTTTGTATTGTTTTTAAAAAACTACCGAGTACGACTCCATAGCACATAGTTACCAAGATCGAACGCAAAGAAAAATGCCAACAGACAAATTGACTGACAGACAAACAGACCGGCAAACAACCCGTCCGAAAGATATGGTTTCACATGATATACAGGTCATACAACTTCGCCTACGCGTGTGAAGTACAAATTAACGTATTATCAAAAAACGTACTCTATTGTCTACTCTGACATCCTCTAAATCGTCTGCAGCAAACACAGCATCAGCAAATATGTCATTTATGGAAGCTGTTCTTTCCACGGGTTCGAAGACTACAAGTGGCGACAGCCCTACCAATGTTTAACGTTTAACAACTTTATTGCCAATTTATAAAATAATAACTTACCTAGATCTGCTCGAGCCAAATTGAGCATTCTTTTGGTTCTTTCTGATGCCATGGTATTGGTTATCACAGAGATTTGAATAAAATGCAACACGTTGGTGACATAACCTCAAAATACAACACGTGGTGAACGACGCGGAACAATATTATCGATGTAAGCATGTAAAACAGTATAAGTCTACTTGTACTGTTTCGCTCACGATATTTCAAGCCTTCTTTGGTGGTGCCACCTATTACAAGTATACTTATGCTGATGTTCCCACCAGAAATAGAAGTTTTTGAGAATTATACTATATAGTGCATGTTTAATAACAGCATTAATATGAAGTATTTACTTATACCATTTAGACCAGCCTATAGACACCGTTTTATTACGTATGACTCTTTTCCCAAAATCTTGACTTATACTCTTTTACACTCGCACCAAAGAATTATTGTAATTATTATTATTATTTGTTTATTTTCCACAGTCCTATCTAATGAACTGGTTCTGTCCATGTGGGGGCCGGTTTTGGTTGGTCATTTTCATTATGGTACTTCGAAGATGTTACCCACATCCTAACGAAATCCATTACCTTATAGTGTCTTACGTAATATGGTTGCTGTACCATACAAAGCAATCTCCTGCACGTCTGCTGTCCTGTGCCTTCCTGGTATGAGATTTAGGTTTCATGTAGATTGTCTGGGATCGTCCCTAATGCACCTAAAATTACGGGAACTATCTTCGTCCTCAGATTCCACATTCTTTGGATTTCAATTGAGAGATCTTTGTATTTCAATTTCTTTTCAGCTTCTTTGTTTACAACGTTTTCATCGTTGGGGACTGAAACATCTATTAGCAGGCAGGTTTTGTCACGTTGGTTTTTGACGATTATGTCTGGGCGGTTCGCGGATATCTATAATTATTATTATTTTGATTATTATTATTATTATTGTTATTATTATTATTATAATTATTGTAATTATTACTATTATTTATTATTATTATTATATATAATAATAATTATATTATTACTATTATTATTATTTGTTATTATTATTATTATATTATTATAATTATTATTCTTATTATTATTATTATAATTATTATTATTACTATAATTATTATAATAATTGTAAATATTATTTGTTTATTTTCCACAGCCCTATCTATTCAACTGGTTCTGTCCATGTGGGCCGGTTTTGGTTGGTCATCTTCATTATGGTACTTCGATGATGTTACCCACATCCTAACGAAGTCCATTACCTTATAGCGTCTTACGTAATATGGTTGCTAAACCATACAAAGCAATCTCCTGCACGTCTGCTGCCCTGTGCCTTCCTGGTATGAGATTTAGGTTTTCATGTAGATTTTCTGGGATAGTCCCTAATGCACCTAAAATTACGGGAACTATCTTCGTCCTCAGATTCCACATCCTTTGGATTTCAATTGAGAGATCTTTGTATTTCAATTCTTTTCAGCTTCTTTGTTTACAACGTTTCATCGTTGGGGACTGAAACATCTATTAGCAGGCAGGTTTATTATATTATTATTATTATTGTAATTATTATTATTATTATTATAATTATTATTATTATCATTATTATTGTAATTATTATTAGTATTATTATTATTATTATTATTTTAATTATATTACTATTATTATAATTATTATTTTATTATATTATTAATTATTAATATTTCAAATTCATTTGGCTTACGTCAATGTATTTATGAAAATACCAGAGTTACACCTACTTCGGCGTCTTGTTTGGATAATATATTGACCAACTTGAACAATGATAATATTGAGAAAGGGACAATAGATTTGAACATTTCCGACCACTTAGGAATTTTTTGTGATTTTTTTATATTACAAGATGAGATTCATTCAATCAAACTGCCC